ACATAAAGATCTCTTCTCTGTGAGGTAGTCAAACAATATGATGACCCTATTAAAGCTGAACGAATAACAACATAGTTGAAGGAATTACAACATGAGTTGGGTAGGGCAAAATGTCAAAGTTACACCCCTCTCATCCTGAGCTGTATTTCACTAAACTAACAGTCACACCCTGCTCCTGTTACACTAAACTAACAGTTACACCCTAGCCCCCGTAATCTGTATTACACTAAACTAACAGTTACACCCTAGCCCCCGTAATCTGTATTACACTAAACTAACAGTTACACCCCGGCCCCTGTGTTACAATAAGCTAACAGTAACACCCCGCCCCCTTTGTAACACTAAGCTAACAGTTACATCCTGCCCCCTGTGTTATACCAAGCTAACAGTTATCAGGTGTGCGCAGGATTTTTGAAAGGGCAAAGCGCCGGCTCTGAGGTTACCGTTGCGAGCAGCCCCCGGAAAATTGTTCGACTGGATTATATACTAAACCAATAGGATATCAATACAGAAGGTTCAAAGCAGCAGTTGATTAGACAATTTGTTATTAGTAATATTTTGAATTTAAAACATTGGACAAATTAAAATTAAAGATAGCACGAATTTTAAGTTATTCTGGATATCTCCAGTCTGAAAAGATGCCGTATGGCTTAGCGTACGCTTTTTGGTACTGGATCGTGATGTCCCATGATTCTGAAATAATGATGTTTTTTGACCCTTCTGATTAAGACTGAGGCTGATCCTCAGTGCTTTCCAATTATATTAATCTGCCTATCTCAAATCTCTTTTGAGCCTCATCATACCCACTCAACTATGAGGATTGGCTTCCTAGATTTAGGAGCAGCCAACCCATGGAAATTATATATGCACAAGGCATGTGTATCGACCTAATTAATTCGAACCTACTATATTCGTTTAAAAATAAAACTTTTGCATCATGTCATTAATGCAAATGTTTGTGAAAATGTTTATAAAATTGTTTATAAAATTATTTTGTTGCTCTGTAGAAGGCAATTAAAAAAAATTCTGGGTCAACATTTCAAAAAGAGCCAGGGGCCGGCGCGGGGGCGATCGCCTACATCGCCACCCGCCTGCGAACCAGGCCTCCCACCCTTAAATTCCCTAAAATTCAAGGTTTTAAAGGTGGCCGTGGTTTTTCTTGGTTTTCAAACCCTTAATTCAAGGTTTTCAGATAGCCATTTTCAAGGTTTTCAAGGTTTTTTAAGACGATATGTATGTTTGCACTACGAAAACTTGTTAATTTTATCTATTTTCTCAAAACTAATGAATGAAATAATATAACCTGGACTAGGTTAGGATTGCTCAAAACATAAATGAGGGGACTGGTGGGGCAAAGGATATGATTTTAAGCAAGAAAACTGCCGAAGGCGAAATTTATAGTTGAAATTCAAGGTTTTCAAGCGTTTTTGTGAAAATCCAAGGTTTGCAAGGTTTTTGATTCAAAATATCAGAAATCAAGGTTCTCAAGGGTTTCAAGGTTGGCTGGGAGGGCTGCTGCACACGCCCATGACAGTTACACCCCGGCATCTATGTTACAGTTAGCTAACAGTTTCACCCCGGCCCCTGTGTTTCAGATAGCTGTATGCAATGTCTCTCAAAATTGATTTTATAGCTGTTCCTGATAGAATGATATCTATCAGGAGCTCCCATGGAAAATATTGTTCCTAGCCAAAGTTGCCCCCAAAGTTATCAGCTTTTCAAATAAAATAATCAAAAAAAAGGCCTATTTTAAAATTTTGATGAGACATAATTTTTCTAAATGGTCCTTAGAACATATCCTGAAAGTTTCAAGGTGATTGCTCAAAAAATGTAGGAGAAGATGGAATTTTAGTTTTCAAGGCGCGCTATTGAAAACCGCTTGCGCAATACAATTACATATAATGAGCGATGACCTTTGACCGGTCATACCCTTGACTAGGAACAATAATTTTCCTTAGCAGCAATGATTCTAAACATTTCAATGCTCACGTTTGACTAATTAAGCCAATGATTGATCTGAAAAGAAACATATTGTATAAAGTAAAGTCACTGGTAATTTGAACAGCTAAGAGCGTAAAAATGGGGTTTGGCTAATTAACTCAACAACCAGAAGCCTGAGGACTTAAAAACCAAGCTCTACCCCACTAATAATCTGAATTTTGAACATCCAGTTACCCAAGTTTAGATTATATTCCTAACTATAATCAGCAGTAGAGTTATTTTCATTTTCTCTATTATCACCACAGGCTAGAGCATAATTTAAGTAGGTTTTGGTCTATTAAATCGACAGCCCAGCATGATGCCTGAGGAAGTTTAAACTAGGCTAAATTTACCCCACTTAATATGATCATTTTACTACTCAATTTAAGCCCCTAACTTCAATCAGAAACCGAGTCATTTAGATTTTAAGTGCAGTGGTCGCAACATGCATCAAACTGCAGCATAATTTTGGGTAATTATGAGGACCTTTTTCACAGATGATTTCCAATGCCCATTAAGGCATTCCCAATAATACCCCTTGGCTTCCCCCATAGTTCTAACCATATAATGGCCAAACCATATATGTTCTAACATAATTATTTTAATGACAAACCTTAGTTGATTTCATCTTTCAATCCGAATTGAAGCTTGACAGGATATTCCGCCTTTTTTCTGCTGCTGAAATTCTTGTCTACTCCTTCGAAGTTGCAAAGCGTGTATATGTCACTTTGTGTCTAAAGTTCCTGGTCCCTGAAGGATTTTGATTGAGCAGCAGTTAAATACGAATTTTTTAGAATCTAAAGTCCAAATGTGTTCACAGATAATTAAGAAAAACAGAATTACAAGTAAAAAGCAGTTATTTAGACCTTTATGAAGCTGTGAATGTTGTGCAATACATCTTTGTGATGTTCTTATCATAATCTCCATTCTAACACTCCTCAGCATATCAACTCTTTCAACCTGAACAGAAATGTAAAATAAAAAGCTTTTTCGTGGCACACCTGTGCATTTTTGAGTTTTGTGCCACAATATTATAAAAGTTAAAATTATTATTTATAATTCATATGTAACAATCAAAGCGAGATATTACTTTTAGGTAATTAGTGGTTATCCTCCCAAAAGGATTCTCACCAGTATATAATTTGAATAATCAAATTGAATAATCAAATCTGAAATCAAACAACAAAATACCTTTCTTTTACAGAGCAAATGTGTGACTTTCGTGGTGAATCATATGAAAACTTTCCCAAGTCTGCTATCCTTGTTACCAACTGACCATATCATAGCATAGACAACCGTATGAAACATCCTAGATTATTGTAGTTTGAGAAGTCAAAACATGAATAATTAGCTCACACCTCTGAAGAGGCAATGAAGGAATAAGAATATCACGCATCGAATGGACCAAAGTGCATCAACTTTATATCAAAAGTGTATCAAAGTATCAACTTACTGCCACAAGAATACCACTGCAAACGATACAGTAGTTCTTTACAAAAAAATTCGTTTTCAATAGAAGGTAATTCTTGGCAGACGACATTGCAAAACTAGACAAGAAAACCAAAACTTTCATGATAACTACTATTTACTGGCCAGTCTGAACTAACAAAATAGTCTGAACTAACAAAATAAACCTCGCTGGTCGATTTAGGAGGATGAGAGAGACAACAATAACATGCACCTGAAAAAACAGCAAGTTTGTGGCAGGTAATGAGTGGCGAGAAGGTTAGCGCTCGATTCATAGGTGATTTTAAATTATATTATAGTTGGTGAGCCGCGCGCCAAATGAAAAAAAAAGGAAAAATAGTTCATATTCATAAATCATGAATATTAAATATGAATTGCAAATTGAATTGTATTCATTTTTAAGAATATTAAAATTCAAATAAATAAACAACAATATTATTTTTAATAAATGCAACTGCATACTGCAGCATGGCTCATCGTTTATTTTGCCTTTTTTCAATTTTTATATTATATCATATAATATTGCTAAACAATTTAAACGGAGCTGTCACATGTCACTTTTTTTAAGCAAAATTGAAAACTCTCAAAATCAACCCCGCTAGTTTAAGAAAAGTTTATAGTTGTCATTGAAATGATTTTGCTATCAAACATTTTTATATGATTATATTGCAAGCCATGCCATTTTAAAATAATATTATCTGAGCCACACGAAAACAAGCTGAGTTTAATTAATTCGAAAACGAATTCGGCAATTATTTTTCATTTTACAAAATCATTGTTAATTCATTTCATACAATTACTTTTATGTTTTTCAAATATAAATGTAATGTGGATTAATATATTATTTTAGATTTGCTAAATTATTTTTCATTTTTGGCACTATGTTTATGTAATTTTTATTATGTCTGTCAACTTCCTAAACAATAGGGGGGGGTGGCTTATTTTAGATTTAAAATTTCGACTTTATCTTGAATGACCGCCGCGAAAAATTGTTTAGCATTTAAATTTATTTTAAGTTAATAAAGTAAGCTGCAGGCTCAAAAATCAAAAGTTTAGTTTAGATGATTTTAAAATGATTTCCGTTGTACTTGGGTTAAGTACAAATTTTAATTTGTTTGTTTAATTTTATTTCTAATACTCTGTGACAGTATTTGGTATTTTCAAATGACTTATGAATATAACTAAATTTAGATTTTGGATTTATCATTTATGAAATTTTTTTCATTTGGCGCGCGGCTCACCAACTATAATATAATTTAAAATCACCTATGAATCGAGCGCTAACCTTCTCGCCACTCATTATACCTGCCACAAACTTGCTGTTTTTTCAGGGTGCATGTTATTGTTGTCTCTCTCATCCTCCTAATCGACCAGCGAGGTTTATTTTGTTAGTTCAGACTATTTTGTTAGTTCAGACTGGCCAGTAAATAGTAGTTATCATGAAAGTTTTGGTTTTCTTGTCTAGTTTTGCAATGTCGTCTGCCAAGAATTACCTTCTATTGAAAAACGAATTTTTTTGTAAAGAACTACTGTATCGTTTGCAGTGGTATTCTTGTGGCAGTAAGTTGATACTTTGATACACTTTTGATATAAAGTTGATGCACTTTGGTCCATTCGATGCGTGATATTCTTATTCCTTCATTGCCTCTTCAGAGGTGTGAGCTAATTATTCATGTTTTGACTTCTCAAACTACAATAATCTAGGATGTTTCATACGGTTGTCTATGCTATGATATGGTCAGTTGGTAACAAGGATAGCAGACTTGGGAAAGTTTTCATATGATTCACCACGAAAGTCACACATTTGCTCTGTAAAAGAAAGGTATTTTGTTGTTTGATTTCAGATTTGATTATTCAATTTGATTATTCAAATTATATACTGGTGAGAATCCTTTTGGGAGGATAACCACTAATTACCTAAAAGTAATATCTCGCTTTGATTGTTACATATGAATTATAAATAATAATTTTAACTTTTATAATATTGTGGCACAAAACTCAAAATGCACAGGTGTGCCACGAAAAAGCTTTTTATTTTACATTTCTGTTCAGGTTGAAAGAGTTGATATGCTGAGGAGTGTTAGAATGGAGATTATGATAAGAACATCACAAAGATGTATTGCACAACATTCACAGCTTCATAAAGGTCTAAATAACTGCTTTTTACTTGTAATTCTGTTTTCTTAATTATCTGTGAACACATTTGGACTTTAGATTCTAAAAAATTCGTATTTAACTGCTGCTCAATCAAAATCCTTCAGGGACCAGGAACTTTAGACACAAAGTGACATATACACGCTTTGCAACTTCGAAGGAGTAGACAAGAATTTCAGCAGCAGAAAAAAGGCGGAATATCCTGTCAAGCTTCAATTCGGATTGAAAGATGAAATCAACTAAGGTTTGTCATTAAAATAATTATGTTAGAACATATATGGTTTGGCCATTATATGGTTAGAACTATGGGGGAAGCCAAGGGGTATTATTGGGAATGCCTTAATGGGCATTGGAAATCATCTGTGAAAAAGGTCCTCATAATTACCCAAAATTATGCTGCAGTTTGATGCATGTTGCGACCACTGCACTTAAAATCAAAATGACTCGGTTTCTGATTGAAGTTAGGGGCTTAAATTGAGTAGTAAAATGATCATATTAAGTGGGGTAAATTTAGCCTAGTTTAAACTTCCTCAGGCATCATGCTGGGCTGTCGATTTAATAGACCAAAACCTACTTAAATTATGCTCTAGCCTGTGGTGATAATAGAGAAAATGAAAATAACTCTACTGCTGATTATAGTTAGGAATATAATCTAAACTTGGGTAACTGGATGTTCAAAATTCAGATTATTAGTGGGGTAGAGCTTGGTTTTTAAGTCCTCAGGCTTCTGGTTGTTGAGTTAATTAGCCAAACCCCATTTTTACGCTCTTAGCTGTTCAAATTACCAGTGACTTTACTTTATACAATATGTTTCTTTTCAGATCAATCATTGGCTTAATTAGTCAAACGTGATCATTGAAATGTTTAGAATCATTGCTGCCAAGGAAAATTATTGTTCCTAGTCAAGGGTATGACCGGTCAAAGGTCATCGCTCATTACATGTAATTGTATTGCGCAAGCGGTTTTCAATAGCGCGCCTTGAAAACTAAAATTCCATCTTCTCCTACATTTTTTGAGCAATCACCTTGAAACTTTCAGGATATGTTCTAAGGACCATTTAGAAAAATTATGTCTCATCAAAATTTTAAAATAGGCCTTTTTTTTGATTATTTTATTTGAAAAGCTGATAACTTTGGGGGCAACTTTGGCTAGGAACAATATTTTCCATGGGAGCTCCTGATAGATATCATTCTATCAGGAACAGCTATAAAATCAATTTTGAGAGACATTGCATACAGCTATCTGAAACACAGGGGCCGGGGTGAAACTGTTAGCTAACTGTAACATAGATGCCGGGGTGTAACTGTCATGGGCGTGTGCAGCAGCCCTCCCAGCCAACCTTGAAACCCTTGAGAACCTTGATTTCTGATATTTTGAATCAAAAACCTTGCAAACCTTGGATTTTCACAAAAACGCTTGAAAACCTTGAATTTCAACTATAAATTTCGCCTTCGGCAGTTTTCTTGCTTAAAATCATATCCTTTGCCCCACCAGTCCCCTCATTTATGTTTTGAGCAATCCTAGCCTAACCTAGTCCAGGTTATATTATTTCATTCATTAGTTTTGAGAAAATAGATAAAATTAACAAGTTTTCGTAGTGCAAACATACATATTCGTCTTAAAAAACCTTGAAAACCGTGAAAATGGCTATCTGAAAACCTTGAATTAAGGGTTTGAAAACCAAGAAAAACCACGGCCACCTTTAAAACCTTGAATTTTTGGGAATTTAAGGGTGGGAGGCCTGGTTCGCAGGCGGGTGGCGATGTAGGCGATCGCCCCCGCGCCGGCCCCTGGCTCTTTTTGAAATGTTGACCCAGAATTTTTTTTAATTGCCTTCTACAGAGCAACAAAATAATTTTATAAACAATTTTATAAACATTTTCACAAACATTTGCATTAATGACATGATGCAAAAGTTTTATTTTTAAACGAATATAGTAGGTTCGAATTAATTAGGTCGATACACATGCCTTGTGCATATATAATTTCCATGGGTTGGCTGCTCCTAAATCTAGGAAGCCAATCCTCATAGTTGAGTGGGTATGATGAGGCTCAAAAGAGATTTGAGATAGGCAGATTAATATAATTGGAAAGCACTGAGGATCAGCCTCAGTCTTAATCAGAAGGGTCAAAAAACATCATTATTTCAGAATCATGGGACATCACGATCCAGTACCAAAAAGCGTACGCTAAGCCATACGGCATCTTTTCAGACTGGAGATATCCAGAATAACTTAAAATTCGTGCTATCTTTAATTTTAATTTGTCCAATGTTTTAAATTCAAAATATTACTAATAACAAATTGTCTAATCAACTGCTGCTTTGAACCTTCTGTATTGATATCCTATTGGTTTAGTATATAATCCAGTCGAACAATTTTCCGGGGGCTGCTCGCAACGGTAACCTCAGAGCCGGCGCTTTGCCCTTTCAAAAATCCTGCGCACACCTGATAACTGTTAGCTTGGTATAACACAGGGGGCAGGATGTAACTGTTGGCTTAGTGTTACAAAGGGGGCGGGGTGTTACTGTTAGCTTATTGTAACACAGGGGCCGGGGTGTAACTGTTAGTTTAGTGTAATACAGATTACGGGGGCTAGGGTGTAACTGTTAGTTTAGTGTAATACAGATTACGGGGGCTAGGGTGTAACTGTTAGTTTAGTGTAACAGGAGCAGGGTGTGACTGTTAGTTTAGTGAAATACAGCTCAGGATGAGAGGGGTGTAACTTTGACATTTTGCCCTACCCAACTCATGTTGTAATTCCTTCAACTATGTTGTTATTCGTTCAGCTTTAATAGGGTCATCATATTGTTTGACTACCTCACAGAGAAGAGATCTTTATGTCATTCCTTGGATGTCATTTTACTTGGATGTGTGCTTAAGAGGTTTATTTACATTTGTATACCTATGGAACTGTAGAACTGTATGAACTGTAGAAATCCAGAGAAGGTTATTGGTATTGTTCTCTTGAGGGTGCTGGCGTTTTACCTTTGTAACCATTCTGGAGACGGGCATGGGCACGAGCATGTTACTGTTAACGAGAGTCAAAAATACCGGCAGGGCACTCAATTGTATTCCGTAAGTGTTCTGGGCGTGAAACATTGTTCCCAGGAGAAGGAATCTGTTGCTCCAAGTTATCCACAGGATAAGGAAACGGTTTACTGAATTACTTAATGCTTAACTGTTTTGAAGAGAACTGGTGCACTACTGTTCTCGGGAGAAGGAAACCGTTGGTCTACTATTTTGAAGAGAACTGGTGCACTACTGTTCATGTTCTCGGGAGAAGGAAACCGTTGGTCTACTATTTTGAAGAGAACTGGTGCACTACTGTTCATGTTCTCGGGAGAAGGAAACCGTTGGTCTATTGTTTTGAAGAGAAATGGTCATGGTGCACTAATTTTCTTAGGAGAAGAAAACTGGTGCTTTACTATTTTCAAAAGAAAGGAAGTGGTACTTTTATTTGCCAAGATTACTGGTAAAACAATGTTTAAAGTCGACAATTAGTTTTTTATGAAATTTGGATAACATTTTGGCTTTAGCCTTCAGCAGAAAAATGATCGGTTTTATCTAGATAAAACCTAAATCTTTATCTGTTTATCTAGATAAAAGATTTCATACCGATAATGGATAGTGATAGCCTATGAACCCAGAATGAAATCCCCCAAAGTACCCAAAAATACCCCTTGGCTTCCCCTTTAAATATTCTATCCGATTTAAAAACATTTACTGTGGCGGAAAAAGTTTCAGCTACGAACCAGACTTTTTTATTCATTGACTGCAGTTAAATACAATCTACAATACAATGCACATTTTCATTGTGTTAATGATTCAGCAATTACTTTTACTAAATCATATCTTTATAAAGAGCCGTACTTCCCCTATTATAAATTTGTAATCCGAATTCCCTTCCTCAGCGTTCACAAATGTGGTCAATTTGACACGAACCGCTGTGTCGACAAGATAAATCCACGCAGCAAAGACACTGGACAGCGACACAACTGGTTTGTCAATATTACTTACATTTGCTTCCTCTTGGCTCTTGCCCTCCATATTTGATTGGTCGCTGGATCAACCTCAGTGTCCACCTTGTCTTGATATAAAACAATCGCGGATAGAACAGAATCAGATAAACCACAATTAATCCACCTTTTTATCCAGGTTACGAAGTTACAAAGAGTGGCAGCCAAGAAACGTGATTATCTTCTGAACAAATGGTCGCCGACGACAGCTGAAATTGTGTTATTAGGATAAAAGGACTTTTATTTGAAAACAAAAAATGAGTTACATTATATTGGATATTTTGAATATCAGTCAATTTTTAAGAGCCAATTACAAGACTGGCGATATCTGCAGAACGTATAATATTTAAAGTTTGACATTTTGAGATTCGGAACTTCTGTGTACTTCTTTATAAATAACATTCACTTTGAAAATTGAAATATAAAAGCGTTTTCGTTAAAGCATTACAAAATATCAAAAGACTGAAAATTAGCTTCGCAACGAGCAAGAATGTCGTATTATTATCATCGGCCTCGGATTGGTTTTTACACTATATCCTCAAATCATGGCATATAATACAGAAACTGATTATGACAGCATAGTTGGTTGTCGGATTGGTTGAAACTTAAATGCCCTCATATTATTTCATATAATTTGATTGTTATTTTAATTTGTATTCCATCATTTGGGTTACTGTATCGGAAGTAATGAATAGATGGAAAGTGGCTTGTATCTGATTTACAAAAAGAAGTATAATTCAATAAGTATTTGAAACCGTGTTACTATTTCAACGGTGACTGGCGGCCACTTTCTGTCGCAATTTTTGCCGCACTCATGAATCCCGGATTTTGGCACATTGAGACAAATTTGGGACAGAAATTTGAGGCAATAGGTATGCCAGGGCTGACTTGTAATCGATCTGGCATGGTAGAGAGGGTACCGGGTCTGTTGGCTTAACTGGACGCTTGGCCTAACTTGACTAATGGCCTAACAAGTAATAGTATACTGAACAAACGGACGGATGGCCTATTCCTAACTTAAGGCAGATTTTAGGCCGATAGTCTACTTGAGGTCACCTGGCCTAACTGCATGAGTGATGTGACCCGTAAGTGCACTGTATTGCTCTTAACATGAGCTGACAGGGCATGCTATATCCTAGCTCGATGACATGGACCAAATTAATTAGTCAAGTACATATTATATAAGTATATAGCCGTTGAGGAAAGGGTCCTTTTGGATCCAGCGCAGCGTCCAGAAATATTGGTGATCCCCCTGAAAACAGCTGATTCCCTTGTGTATGTGTGAGCTAACGAGCTCCTTATGGATGAGAGATATAGGCATGGATCACGTCAGCATGGCCACTTACTCGTCGAAGCACGTCATCGGGCTCATATAGCATGCTTTGTCAGCTCATGGTGAGTAAAACGGTGCACGTACGGGTCTCATCACACTGTAGCCCGTCAGTCCAGTTAGGCCAAGCGACTAAAGGTGGACTGTTGGTCTGTTAAACTTCAATTTAAAGTAGTATTAGACCCCAAACGGTCGCCTGAACTAACTGGTCTTATGGCCTAATTCATGGATTTAGGCGCTAGTCCAGTTAGGCAAAGAGACCTAGAATCATTCAAAACTGGCTGGAAAGGTTAGTTCATATGCCACCTATCATACCAAAGCAAATTCAACTCAGTTCATAAACAAAATAAAGGATATCGGGCCTTAAAAATTGACAAATTTTTTTCGAAAACTAGGCCAAAATTTCGGATTAATTCTCTGCGCGCGGAAACCGAACCTGTATTTTATAAATAAACTTGATATTGACAACAATTTACGTGGCATTATTTGCGCGACGCAAAATTTATAAACCCTCATTATAATGGGGGTTAAACTGTCATTGCTAGCTGTCGTAGCTAGCTCAGTTTTTTAAGACAGCTACCTACGACAGCTAGCGCGCATCAACCCTCATTTCTAGCTGTCTTAGAAATTGCCTCCTAAGACAGCTAGAGCGCGCTAGCTGTCTTAGATTTTTTGTAGGGTGGTACTATGTGGCCTCTTTTGTTAATTTTTCCTTTATATTATACAATATAATTTAAATATGTTTTTTGAGATCACTTCTTCCGGTTCCAGTGTCTTGGAATGTTAAAGAAGTTGAATATATGTGGGAGTGTGTAATTAATTTTATTACAATTACGTGAGGCATCAGTTACAGGATGGGATTTCTCCTAAAATTGCTTGGAATTTGCCCTAATTAGATTCCAGTCAGGGCCGGTTCAGGGACCCCAGTCATTATTCTGATTTGATCATCCAATCCAGCCAACATTCGAATTTTTTGAGTAATGGTAACAAAATGGCATAATAGTGTAACTGATTCAATTATAGATACACTGGATCGTGGCCCTTCTCTCTCTCCTTTGAGCACAGAGGTAAAGGGAATATAACATGAAACAATGTATACCACGAAATGAAAGTATTGAGTAAAGTAATATAAATATACACAGTTTATTTTAATCGCATTGCTATCCTACTATATATTGTCGAGGTACAGATCGCGTGGTGTGTGATTTCTGACTTAGCTTATGTAAAATTGATGACACAATAGACAGACTGTCGAGGTGGCAACGTCTTAGTAGAGAAGTGCCCTGATATAAAGAGAGATATAGGTGAGGAAATCACACAGGAATTAAATTGTTTAAAACTAAAAAATTAGATTATTTAAGTCAAACTTTTGAGACAAAGGGAGAATGTCGACAAGCTTGCACTTTTTGACATATTGCTCAGGTGGATACAGAGGCCCGATTCTAATAGAATCCATTTAATTATACCTAATAGCTCTCTTTTGGAGACTTTCTGATTTATCACTAAGTGATTTATTACAAGGGCGACAGATTATGGAACAATTTTCGAATTGGTTACGAACAAGGGATAGGTAAAGGGCCCGCGGCGACGTTTCTGACCAAGGACAATATGGCCATTTCTTCTGACCATTATACCAAGTTGTTGGCAGGCCTTAGTATAAATTCTGTCGCATTGACTATTCCAACTTAGCTTAGGAGTAATATCGACTCCACTCCAAGATTTTTTTCTAACTCTACATACAAAAGAGGAGTGCCATCACGATTATATTATGCGAATGGAGGAGATAGGGATGGTTTCCCTGAAACAACAAGTACTTTACATTTTGCTGGAAATCACATCTTATTACAAAAATATTATTTTTATAAACATTATTTATCTATTACAAAAATAAAATACAAATAATCTTCTATCCAGGATGGTTGTTCGTGTTTGCATTATAGGTGCCGGTCCTAGTGGTATGAGCACTCTGGCAATGTTCAACAAGCTAAAAGACCAGGGTGTGGAGTGCGAGGTGACTTGTTTTGATAAACAGGAACAACCAGGCGGTCTTTGGAATGTAACTTGGAGAACCGGTTAGTTTATTGTATTATAGAGCTTTATAGGCATTGACTCCATGTGAAAACAAGCAAGCCAACCTAGTATGGGCCAGTAAGTGTGGATTTTTCAGTGTGACCCTACTGCACGTGCAAAATATTTCGTTTAAGTTTTGGAATATTTCTGTCGTGGTAACTTTGGAATATTTGACTTTTTGCCAATGGTCAATGTTAATCTTATAATAACGGCAGTAATAACAGCAGTTGGGGCAGGGTTTGAGATAAAACTAAAATTCATTACTGGGAATGAAATGTTACACGAAGCTTCTCTAGTTGATTGAAATAAGTGAAAACCTGTTAGCCTTTGACGGCCTAAGATATTGAGCCTTTCAGTATCCTCGATTTATATACAGGGTGTCCCAAAAACGACTACCCAATAAGAAACCCTCCTCATTTTTTCAGTCTTGAATCATTGGTTCTGATTTCTTAGTATGACTTTTTAAAGAGTTAGGAGATTTGTTTAGGACCATTAGGAGTCTCACATGAACTCGATCTTTTTCATGTTGAAGATATGCGAAGAAATCTTGGTGTGATCCCAGAATAGGCGATAGTTTTCGTCCATGTTGGAATCCTAGTTTTGAAACGTTTAGACTGCCCCAAGTTGTAAACCAGGCATATACAGACACAATGGAAAGTCTTCTTCACAATGAGAACTGAAATGGATGTTTTTGATATGGTCCAGCATTTGGGAGCATTTTCAGGCCACCCCCTTTTTTTGTCTTTAGGGGTCGTTCACATATTACGTAATAAATATTTTGGCAATTTTTACCCCCCCCCCCCTCCGTAATCAACCGTAATCATGACCGAACCCCCCCTCCCCCCCCCCCCCCCTATATTACGTAATCAAGGTTTGAAAATTTGTTTAAAAAACGAAAATTTTGATTACATATAATTAACGAAAATTGTCCAATTGGTATTTCGAAAATCGGTAAAAAATTAAAATTTTGATTACGTAATCAACGACCAAACCCCCTCCCCCCCCCCCCCCCCCCGTAATCAACCGTATGCATTTGAAAACCCCCCTCGGCTGATTACGTAATATGTGAACGACTCCTTAACGGCGTAATTTTGCCCTATTTTCATATTCTTTTAAATTTTTGGCTTCCTTACTCTGACAGTATACACTTACCAAGGAACATGTGGAAACATATGGGAACATGTAAAAAATCAACGACTTTCACATAAAACATTGCATTTTGGACAATTTTAAATTTAAAATGAGGACTCAAAATAGTTTGTTTAAGTTTTCAGAAGTCACAAACAAATCTCCCAACCCTTCAAGAGGTAAAAATAAATTAGAGATGAGTATCATTAAAGGAAAATTCAGGAAAGGAGGAGGCGAGGGCTTCTCACTGGGGGGTCTTTTTTGAGACACCCTGTATAAAACCTTCATCGGAATGTTTTTATCTTAATTTTTTTCAGGTACTGACGAGTTTGGGGAACCAGTGCACTGTTCGCAATACCGCGACCTTTTCTCACATGGTCCAAAAGAATGTCTGGAATTCCCTGATTACACTTTTGATGACCATTTCGGGAAGCCTATCCCGTCCTGCCCTCCTCGTGACGTGTTGATCGATTACCTGCGAGGCTACTGGAAGTTTCAAGGGTTGAAAAAGGAGGACGTTCTTACGAGGCACATGGTCAAGAATGTTAGTTTCGATGATAAAACTGCTACCTTCACAGTTCAAGCAAGGAATCTCGTGCAGGGATTAGATGTTGAACAGGAATTCGACCGACTGATCATAGCTTCGGGCCATTTTTCTGTTCCTAACGTTCCTCATTTCGAGGGTATTGAAACGTTTGAGGGACGTGCCATGCATTCCCACAACTTGAGGAATGCGAGAGAGTTTACTGGTAAGAGGATTTTGGTAATCGGTTCCAGTTTCAGTGCCGAGGATATTACCCTCCAGTTGTTCAAATTCGGGGCCGAACAAATCACTATTTCATACCGCACAGATAGGTTGGATTTCAAATGGCCTGGAAAAATTCATAAAGTGCCCTTACTCATAAAAATCGAGGGGAAAACCTGCCATTTCAAGGATGGTACCTCCGGAGACTATGATGCGATTATTCTCTGCACTGGTTACAAACACCATTTTCCCTTTTTGCCCTCTGAGCTGAGCCTTCCAAATGGAAACATCTTCAATCAGCCCAATCTCTACCGCAACGCACAGTGGTATGGTGTCACTGAAGGCAAGAAAGACGCATCAAGCGGGCTTTTCTACCTTGGCATGACGAACCAGTTCTACTCCTACACCATGTTCATAATGCAGGGTCTGTGGGCTGCGAGTGTCATCAAGGATATCATCCAGACACCAGAGAGGGAGGATTGTGTGGAGGATATGGAGAGGAGGTATGCGGAGAATGCTAATCTTACGGACTGCTTCAAGATGATTGACTCACAAGCTGATTACATGAAGCAATTATCGGTCGATCTCAACTATACTGAGATTCTGGATACTGTGGAGGTATGTGTTACATTATATCTTTAATTACGTACTTCGTACATATTGATTTAGCATTTGACCTATTTTCATATTTTGACCGTTTAGATTTTGAAGATTTTTCTTTTTGAAGCTCTTTTTAACATGGTGACAACGATTTTGTTGCACTCTTACTACGATAACAACCTAAATTGTTAATGTACACCTTATTTCAGCTGTATTACCGATGGGTGCAAGATAAGCACGATGACATCATGACGTACAGAGATAACCATGTAGGGGGAAATAATTAAATTATTGAATACCAGGAAGAAGTATTAGATGTACTGAATTTAATTAAATTTATTTGACATCAGAAACTAGATAGTAGATATAGTGGTTACACAAAGGAGTCTCAATCAAATCGCAACCATCGTAGGGGGAAATAATTAGATTATTGAATACCAGGAACTAGAATTAGATGTACTGAAATTGATTCAATTACTTGACATCAGGAACTAGATATAGTGGTTACACAAAGGAGTCTAAATCAAATCGCAACCATGTAGGGGGAAATAATTAGATTATTGAATTCCAGGAAATAGAATTAGATGTACTGAAGTTGATTAAATTATTTGACATGAGGAACTAAATACACTGACAAGTGTTACAAGTCCCTATACACGCTCAAGGATTCCCCTGTACACCCCATTCCTTGGGTTAAGGGGGGGGGGGGGGGGGGGGGGGGGGGGTTGGGGTTCACCCTGATTTTTTTTGTGAAACTTGGTTTCGAGATAGCAGCTGACCAACAAACTAGGACCAGTGACCGAACTTTTGAGGGGGTCCCGGACCCCAACCCCCAAACGGTGCCCGCGGGGCAGCCACGCCCATATTTGGTCCAAATTAGGCCCAATTTAGCCAAATACCTTGAACATGCCCAAAATCCAGATTTTAGGTGCTCTACTTGTAGCGAGTGGTCCCTTAAAAAAATTTGGCGGCCAAATTCCAAATTTTGCAATGCGAAATTCAGAATTTGGCCGCCAAATTTTTTTAAAGGCCTAACTCAAAATTCTGTCCCAAAACTTAAGGTCGAAATGCGATTCTACGTTGATTCTGAAAATGTCATGTAAAAATATTGAAACCCTATTGAGTTCTATTGTTCCTCTCTCTGAAGTGGGTCCGAGCAGTAGACTCGCGCTACTGACACCCGGGAATGGTAATGCACGGATACAGTTAACGCCGTGTAGCTAGAGCTTCAGAGGATCCTGCCCGATGCAGGTATGCTGAGTAGCAGATGCGACAAGCGCACTACTTCCAGCAGATATCAAGATGGCAGTCTAGCCATCAGAGTGTTTCAGAGCACTCTGAGTGTTATATTACACTCCTTACTCTTACCAGAACTCTGTTGATGTCACAGTTTCTAGTTCAACCCTGCTGTCAGAACCTCCTCACAGCTCGATGACCCCGGTCCTGTGTTCTGAGGCACATTACCCAGTACCCTTCTACCACCTTCCCTTCCTTTCTGTCTGTGTGTGGCTGCAGACCCTCAGATTAATCCTCAGTCATTTTCCGTTGCTTACGAACATGGATATGATGCTAGTGGGCTACCAACCTCTAGCAATACCTTGGTACTCGCAAAGTTTTTTGCCACGCACCCGCTTATCTATATTTCACCGAGCTAGACAACTTAAGCACTAGGGTTCGAGCCCCTAACTCTCTTTCTGATAGCACAGCTCATGATGACGCTACACCTTTAAACCCTCCTGGGAGAGATACAGCTGATGGTATCTGTGCTAAAAGAAAGACCAACAAAAAACCAAAAATAAACAAAAAAATCTCAGAGTCCTTTTATCTTTCTACCTACAATGTTAGATCTCTCACTGAAGAATGAAAACAGTGGGAGCTTGTATGTAAAGCTAAAACATTCAACATCCCAGTGATAGCACTACAAGAACACCGCATTAAGAAGTCTACTTGCATAATGCGCGATGGCTACAAGTTCCTCTTGGCTTCTCCTCCCCCTAAAAGTAGAACCATCCTAGGTCTAGGCTTCCTCCTTTCTCCTTGGGCCCAACGCTGCTACATTGACCACAACATATTCTCAGACAGGATCATGTCCGTTTCCTTTACTGGTGATGTACACACTCATCTAGTAACCTGTCACTCCCCTACAAACGTTTCTACAGATCTGGAAATTGAGCAGTTCTATGAAGAGCTATCTACTTGTGTACGTTCCTTTCCACCCCATGACGTAGTAGTTATAGCTGGTGACCTGAACGCTCACCTGGGTAAAGACACCTGCAATAACAACGCATACTATGAGTGTACAAACCGAAATGGACAGCATCTCCTAGACTTCGCCCAAGAAAACACATTTACCATCGGCGGGTTAAAGTTTAGCAAGAAAGCTTCCAAAAAAGTGACTTGGACAGCACCAAATGGTCAACTGCATCAGAATGACCACATCCTCATTCGTTCTAAATGGCAGAACTCTCTTAAAAACTGTGAGTCATACGTCAACCCTTCAGTTCAATCTGACCATCGGATTCTTACAGCGACCATCAAACTGTCAATAAGGGCCAACATCACCCGGCCTAAGGTTATTAAGTATGACTGGGAAACGTTAAAGAGTGATACACCACTGTTGAATGTCTTCCAACTTCAGCTCCAGAACAGGTTCAACGCCTTAATGGACATTGAAAGTGAGTCGGAAGACCTGATCCTACAAAATCAGCACATTTACACCAACATGATAAGTGCTATCAACGACACAGCTGAAAAGGTTCTTCCTAAAAGGAAGAAGACGAGCCTAACGGCCCAGATTTCGTCCAACCCTGAGTACCTGGCAGCTGTCAAGGCACGAGATGCTGCTTTGAAGGATAGTCACAAAAGGAAGACACGAGCCGCCACTAAAGCCCTGCGTGACGCCACCCTCAAAGTCAGAGAGGTCGAGACGAGTATACAAGAACAGTTTGTGAACAACCAAATCGACCAGGTTGATCAATTGTTCATGCCGCAACCCGTAAACAACCCAGGGTTTGCACCATGGCAGACAAAGTCAAACAGTTCCGGTATCGCGTGGAAACTAATTAATGATCTGACAGATCGTAAACCTAAATCTATGTCACCTCTACCTGGATATAGAAACAAGGCAGAACGATCAAAGGCGTGGACTGACCACTACAGCAAACTGCTCTACAACCCTGCTGACTCCACCAGAATGAACAGCATCAGAATGGACAGCATTGATGTTTCTGAACCAAAGCTCCCTATTCTGACGTCTCCATTCACAGCAGATGAACTATCAACAGCCCTTAAGCAGACAAAGGACACGTATGGTCATGACGGCATACCTTCGCTTCTTTACAAGTGTGTTGACTTGAACACCACGTTACTCTCCTTGTACACAACATGTTGGCCACTGGTAAAGCCCCGGAAGAACTGCTTGTCACCGCGATTCTCCATATACCGAAAGGTGCTAAAAGGTTCTGTCCTGAAAACAGCAGAGGCATATCCATCCTTCCTGTTGCCACCAAGATCTACAACAGGCTGCTTCTCAATCGTATCAGAACTCATATTGAACCTCGCTTACGGTACAACCAGAATGGTTTCCGTCCTGGAAGGGGCACTCGTGAACAGATCTTGGCCCTTAGGCGAATAATTGAAGAAGTCATCAACTTCCAGCTCCCCTGCGTCATCTCCTTCATTGATTTCTCTAAGGCGTTTGATTGCATCTTTAGATCTCATCTTCCTAACATTCTGGCGTCCTATGGCTTCCCTAAGATAATAATCAAAGCCATTATGTCCCTTTACATCAACACCAAAGCCAAGATCATGACCCCTGAAGGTACAACTCTTGAATTCCTGACCAACCTTGGAATTCTCCAGGGCGATGTTCTTGCTCCGCTTATCTTCATTATCGTCCTGGACTTCATTCTTAGACTGGCAATAGGTCCACACGATGGGCTTAAAGTAGGTTGTGATTACATAGCATATTTGGACTTCGCCGATGACTTAGCTACAATCACACCCAGCTTCAGCGATAACAGCCACCTGATAGGGTCTTCATTAACAGCAACCCTCTCGAAGAAGTCCACGACTTTAAATATCTAGGATCCTACATCGCTTCAACCAGCAAAGACATCAATGTCAGGAAAGGCCTTGCATGGAAAGCACTTGAAAGTCTAGATGTTTTCTGGAAATATGACATGTCTAGAAAGATCAAGACTAAAATTTTCAGAACTGCAGTCGAGCCTGTTCTTTTATATGGCGCAGAAACATGTACTTTGAAGAAAGCTGACACTAAAGCACTTATAGACGGTGTTTACACACGAATGCTGCGAAGGGTCTTTGGTATCTCATGGAAATCCCACACACCTAACTCCGTCCTCTACGGAAATATCCCATCGGTGACTGATACCATCAAAACACGAAGACTTCGTTTTGCAGGGCATGTCTACCGTCTACAGGACCAACCTGCTCAGCAACTCCTTTTCTGGCAACCATCTTACGGCAAAAGGTATCGAGGACGACCACACAAGACCTTTCCGGACGTCCTTCAAGAAGATACTGGTTTAGAGCCCCACATGATACGTCTGCTCATGAGTGATAGAGATAAATGGAGACATGCGTTGACACGAAACTCGTTCCAGATTTCATCTTGACCGACCTAGGTAGGTAGGCAGGTTTTGAGCGAAATCAGTTTTGCAAATATCGCGAACTGAGATATGGGCAATTTTGTTCATTTTTTGCTATTATTTGAACACAGAATCCACAGTTAGGTAGATACTGAGCTGATAATCATAGATAATGTGTATTATAGGCTTACCTTCCATATAAAGTTGGTTTCATTCAAAAATATTGATATTTCATCAATTTATGGGCCGAAATCTATCAATTTTGGAGCGTATGCCCAAATATGGTCATATGGTTTTTGGCTCGTAACTCAGTCATTTTTTGTCCAATCTTGATTTTTGTCAAATCTGGATTTTGGGCATGTTCAGAGTATTTGGCTAAATTGGGCCTAATTTGGACCAAATATGGGCGTGGCTGCCCCGCGGGCACCGTTTGGGGGTTGGGGTCCGGGACCCCCTCAAAAGTTCGGTCACTGGTCCTAGTTTGTTGGTCATCTCGAAACCAAGTTTCACAAAAAAAATCAGGGTGAACCCCCCCCCCCCCCCCCCCACGCCTAATTTGGACCAAATATGGGCGTGGCTGCCCCGCGGGCACCGTTTGGGGGTTGGGGTCCGGGACCCCCTCAAAAGTTCGGTCACTGGTCCTAGTTTGTTGGTCATCTCGAAACCAAGTTTCACAAAAAAAATCAGGGTGAACCCCCCCCCCCCCCCCCCCCCCCCCCCCCCCCCCCCCCTTAAGTGTTACGATGACTCATTGGAAGCTTTTATTTCTGCTTAACTTAATAAAGAAAAATATTGACTTGTGGTTTGTTGTATTGGGATTAAATGTGGTCATTTACAATCTTTTCAAGGAAAGTTTACAAAAACCTACCTCTTTATTTAGGTATTATAGATATTAACTATAATGTACACAGTGGAGCAGAATAGATATTCATATTACTACCTAGTGATAAGCCGACTTTAAAGAAGGAAAATGCTGATGTCGATATTCTCAGTAACTATCGACCAGTCTCTAACCTCTCTGCCTTCTTCAAGATCCTCGAGAGAATTGTACTGAACCAGTTCAATGTTCATCTCACAAATCATAGCCTTTACTCAGAAGTCCAATCTGGATACCGCTCTAATTACAGTTGTGAAACTTGTAAGAATGTGTGATGATCTTAACAAAGAAATTATAGCAGGGAATGTTGTTATAATTGCACTTCTTGACTTATATAGTTATATATAGGTGCAGCGTTCGATACCACTGAAAACACAGTCTTACTGGAAAAGCTTATGAAAGACTATGGAATTACTGAAAGTGCACTGCAATGGATAAAGTCCTACCAAGCGCTGCATACGAATATATGTAATTCAATTATACATAATGACGCTGCAAAATGCAGCGATTTCATTGGACGAGAGCAACTGTATCATGAGGTTAATTGCTTTTGGCGAAGTTTGAATACAAACGGCAGCGTTTGATCGAAAACCTACAGGGTGGGCCAAAAGTCAGTGTGGAAACGTTGGGTCTTATACCTCCGTCGTGTTTTATATTTGAGAGCTGTTGCTTTGCAGATGACATACTGGACTTACTGGTTCGAGGATTCCGTCGTCAAAATTTGAAAATTCGAATATTTTAGACCACGCCCATTCAATATTAAAACACCTATATTGTTTTCTCTGAACATGCTGAACACCTAATTTTTTCAGAGACGGTAGATTATCAAATGTTGCATATGATCTGAAAACATGAGGCTAAACGGATTAGAAATGACGAAGTTATCAAGCATTTTGTGTATCTCGTTAACAAAATTGACTGGGTGATTATGTGACACCGTGACACGACACCTTAATTGGGCACCCTTAAAAATTCCCATAATGTTTAACGGGGTAGTTAACGGGGTCACCTTATCACGTGATTAGGTAAACCAATCACCTGATCACACGTAATGAATAAACTCGTTATGCTTCATATCTCGGTCATCTGAGAAGCTACAGTTCTAATTCTTTCAGGACAAACGTAATTCGAATGGCCAAACACAATTCAATAATATTTAGCTTGATCCGACTATCCAAACTATCAAATAAATGTGAAAATGAACCTCCATTTGAAAAAAATGAACGCGAATATTTTTCGAGTTGACAAATTCCTCGAACCAGTGGTGGTACTAAGTCGAACCAGAAGGAAGTATTTCAATTGGGCACTCAGTGACTGAGCTATTAAGGCCAACGTTTGCACACTGACTTTTGGCTCACCCTGTAGTTTCAGCCCCCCCCCCCCCCTGCATCAGCAATTGCAGCTGGACTCTCAATATAGTATCGCAGTATAGTATCCAGCAATTATATTTATACTGTTAGTGTTTGACGAATTGAAATACAAGATGACAAAAGCGTTCAATAAAAATCTTTTGATTAATTATCATCATCAATTTATTGTCATTTCATTTGCTGCATTACTAAATTTATTTCTGAGTCCTGGCTTGGCAGCGCAAGTACAAGGCTGAGCTTTTTTTGCAATACTAATTACTTTATTATAGTGGTAGCAACTGTAGTACGGAAAAAAAGTATTAAGACTCATTAACGCGGAATTTTGTATTTTCGCGCGTTACGAATCTCTGTAGACCCATTTAATTAGTTTAATGGCTTGACCTAGGGGTGTACATGTAATACTTATTACTATTACGAGGTGCGTGGCCCATAAAGTAAATTGATTTGAAAAAAAAATGATGTCAAATCGTTTTTATTTTAATATTGAATTGGAATTTCATGGCCCAAACCCACCATGCCGGTTTAGATTGATTTGAAAGAAAATCCCTGATGTCAGACCGTTATTTATTTTAATATTGAATCGAATGTTCATGACTCAAACCCGCCATGCCGTTTTAACTTTTTAAAATTGGTTTGGAATCAATTTTAAAATTTATGGCGGGTATAAGCCATGTGAGCCATCGTTTTCTATTTTAATATTGAATCGGAAGTTTATGGCTCAAACCCGCGCCGCCATGCCCTTTTAACTTTTTAAAATTGGTTCGAAATCAATTGACCAATTGATCTGATTCTCCATGTCAGATTCTCAAAATGACAGTTGCGCCTAAGTGCACGTTAAGTTTGACTCCCAAAGTTGCACTTAAATATTTAAGTGTGAACTTAAATCATGTAACTTAAGTAAAAATGTGTACTCAGTTCGTGGATGACAAACGAAGAGGTGTACTTAAATTTGTACTTAGTCATTTTTAATACACCATAAACTGTTCGTGGAAGACACCCACTATCCAGGATGCTACGTCTAAGCTCTGGCATAAAGCCAGAGACCCTCTTGCAACAATTGTGGAATTAAAATTCAGTTGGGAGGGAGCATATCCACAGAACGGTTCAAATCTAATCGCCACCGGAGTGAAATTACAAATTAAATCTGCAAAATCTAAAAATAAAGTTCGGACGAATACTATATTACAGTTCGCTCTGAAGAATGCATATATTCACTATTTCGCATATTATCCTCGATAACTCACTATCATGTACTAAGGTGAAAATGATAATGAACGTCGATTTCGTCCTATACGTAATTATGCAGAATGCTGCGAGATCACTCAGCTCTGCTCTGGCATAAAGTCACATACCCTCCTAAAACTTGCTCCAAAAAATAAACGGCTTTTCCCTTTTATTTCCTGAACCATTCTTCGTAGCTTTGCGTCTATCGTTAATTATGATCGTACGATTTTTGATTGAATGAAGTTAACTTTTTATTATAATTGCGGGATTTCAATACCGATTGGGCGGAACTGTCATATCTGATCAAGTAGTTTTTAATTGGTTTTCATGATTCGTCAACTTCCCGTGGTAGCTATAGATCTAGATTGGGCGCAACTGTCTGGCAGCCGGAATTTTATTGCTCAAACCCGCCATCGTTTTCTATTTTAATATGGGGTCGTTTACATATTATCTTATTTCGTTATGATTGGGTGGGGTAGAGGAGGCGGAGGCGGAGGCGGAGGCGGAGGGGGTGTGATTACGGGAGGGGGAGGGTGTGTGTCGATTGTTGATTACACACGAACTTCAAAATGTTTCTAAAAGGCCTCCGACAGTTCAGACCATTGGATCGATGGATCACGTGACATGAAATAGACCATATAGAGAAGTCAGTCTTATTTCCCGGTTTAAGTGTACATGTAACTGCCTCCCCATAAAAACCCAAATGCATTTTCTGACAGAAAGCTAAAAATTTACCAAAATATGATCAACCTTGTTATGAATTCATTTTGATGACCGTTCCTGACATAAAGTAAAATAAATATTTCAGAATATTCTAGAAGGTTATGGATTCTTCTATGAGTATGGAGTAGCCAAGCCTAATAAATCATTCGTCTATTTCTTGCTTCTCCAATCGAATTAGATGATAGCGGTGTTTTATTGAAATAATGATCCTGGAGGTCCAGTAAAAGTCTTGGGTCGCAGAGTGCAGACTGACATCAAGCATAGATTCGTCTTTGCAAATTC